AGACCCAAATTTTTAGTGCTACATTTTTGGGTTGTAGTCGTTGCATTCTGGGAGGTCGGCATCATTTATTCTCGAGCACCATAGCAAGGACATAACGATCTTAATGAAAGTGTGTTCAATACATGCCTCGGCTTTTTCTTATTTCTACATTTTGATTGATCTACATTCTCTAAGTTTTTTTATTTTTTTTAATTTAACTTACAGTTTGTGATCTTGTTCTTGTTTTATACCTAAACAAGAATTTCTTTGCTTACTTGTATTTTCCAGAAATAATTTTGTGAAAATTATTTTCTAACTTTTACTTTTATTTTAGTTGTTATTTTATTGAATACACATAGTTCGCTAGTTTAATAAATAGTTTACCTACAGTAAATTGGAAAAACCTTAAAACATGAAAGGTTAAAGTAGAAAAAAATAAACTTTAAAGGCCAAACTGAGAAAGTGGCCAAGCATAAAGAGGGCAAAGTGTAATTCATTCATTTAATATTTGGTAATTCATTTGAAATCCTTAGGTAACGTTTATGTTATCATTTTATATTTACAAAAATTTTATAAACTGGTTTTTGTTTATTTTTAGAAAACATAAATTACAGACGCGTTTGGTAATTGATAAAATGTTTAAAAATTTTAAAAAATATAAAAAAGTGTGAGAAATGGCAAGTGGCGACGGCGGAAGACGGTGGTGGAAAGTGGTGACAGTGAGTGGTGGGTGGTGGTGGTGGTGGTGGGTGGGTGATGGTGGCAGGTGCTTTTGGGCAGGTGACGGTGGCGGGTGGTGGTAGCAGGTAGGTGGTGGGTGGTGGTGGCGGAAGACGATGGTGGAAAATGGTGGCTGGTGGTGGCTAGTGTTGGGTAGTAAAAAAAAAAAAACTCAAAACTCAAAATAAAAACACATTTTTTGTGTTTTCAGTTTTTGGCCAAATTTATAAACTGAGACCACTGATTTATAAATCAAAAATTTTACCAAACAAGTTTTTATTTAAGTTTTTAAAATTTTTGTAAATATAAATAGAAAACTGAAAACGTAAGTATTACCAAACGACACCTTAGTATTACTCAATTACAAATATACCTTGTGAAGCTTACTTAAAAATAAATAAATAAACTATTAATTGACTTAATAGTGAATTAATGAAAGAATTATTTATTATACGCTTATAAATTTTTTCCCATATCACTTAGGGGTGAGCATGATCCGGATTGGATCGAATTGGGGTAAAATCAAGACCAATCCGTTATTTACGGTTCCTGAAAATTGGAACCAATTTAATCCATTTAAATCATGGAACCAATCCAACCCAATCCATTTAAATACGGATTGGATCGGTTTAGGATCATGGATTCACATAATTAAATAATAAATATATATATATATATATATATAACACTTTAATTTCATAAAAATATAAACATAACGCTATATTAGTTCTATAATAGTAATATGTTTTTCTATAATAGTGACATACTGTTCTAGAATTTAAACAACCATAAGAAAACTGGTTTCACCATAAGTATTTAAACCATTACAAATTAAAATTAAAAGCTAACAAACAAAAGTAATAAAAGAAGATATTATACAGTTTTAGGTTTGAGTTTAGATTTTATATAGAATAAGAGAAGATATTATGGAAGAGGATGTATAATAAAAATATAGACTATTTGTATACGGTCTGGATCGGTTCCAATCCGGAACCGTGGGGTTCAATCCGGAACCAATCCGTGGACTACGAATTTTTAATTTTTCAATCCGGAACCGAACCGCAAATTCAAAAAATCAATCCAAACCTATCAGATTGGACTGGACTGGATCGAATTACGGATTTCACGGATTCCTTGCTTGGCCCTAATATCACTTGCGTGTCAAAAATATATACTTGAGTCATTTGCTAAAAAACAAGGTCGGCAATGCGGGCCACTAAACCGGGCCACAAATGAGGAAGGCCCACAATTTTTATAATATCTTCATATGTTTTTTCGCCTTACCAGGCCCACAAATAATAACACTAGATGTAAGTAAGGGGAATAGTTGAAACGCTCGTTCAACAAATATTTAGAGACGAGCATTGATTGCACTTGCATCAAAAAAGAAATGCATTGATTGCTACTTATTTTTTAACCAAAAAAATTTATTACTATAATCTATAATCGGTGCAAAGAAATAAGAGTTATGCTAGGGAACTGTACGGGGAGGAAATAATTCTCCTCGTATAATCCTGTTGACCAAGTCCACGCTCCTCCGCACGACGTCGTTTTATCACCTGAAAACACAAACGTGAGCTAGCCGGCGGGTGCGTGCCGGAAACCTCTCCGATGCCTAAGTCAGAAAACTTGACAAATAGATTAAGCTCTAGGTTCTCAGAAAGATTGTGTTCAATTACCTCCTCCAAGGTGGTGCTTGTGAGCTTTTATAAGTTTCATACGGCACAATCCTAGTAGGACTTGTATTTCTCCATGCAGAGTCCTCCTAGGATTCATTCTCCCAAAGATAATGCTTATCCTTTTACACCCTCCCCCACTGCTTAAACCAAGTGGGATGGTTTTCTTTATGGCCGAACTTCCATTCGACCGAAGTAAGAATGGCTATGCCGAGCCACAAAGTAGGCCATACTGACAGTAGTTCGGTTCTTCTTCATGTTACACCATATCTTGGTTTTCTCATACATGAACCGTGGTGTGTTTGGACCGAACTACTGAGTAACAACATTACAACCGACCTATCCCGAATTCAATCATGACCGGACTACCTTTTGAGACCGGACTAACTCAAGTTGTCAAAACCGAAGCAGCTTTACATTCCTTTAGCCGAAGTAACTTTATCTCTTCTGACCGAAGTAAGTCAATCATCTCCGCAGAGCCGGAATAAATCTATCGCTCTTGAACCGGAGTAACTTTAACAACTTGGGCCGGAGTATCTTTTATCTCCCCTGGGCCGGAATAACCTTGCGGCCTTTTTACCAAGTCCTTGGTGTTTTCCCAAAAATTACCCTCTCAATTGCCCCTTAATTCCATCTGCATAGCATGATTGGGATTATCAGTCTATCAACCGAGCTGGCGTCGTTTTAAGCTTTTCCAGCCGAGCTAAGAATACTTTAGCCTCTCCAGCCGAGCTAAAAACTCTCGAGCTTTTAAGCCGAGCTAATTTCACTCCGGGCCCTATTTTGTCCGGTCAAAAACGTCTCTTCAATCATAGTGTCTGTAACGCTTCCCATTCTTATGACACGTGGCATGTTTTGGTTGGCTAAGGACGGCTGTCACGCCGTCTTCGTGCTTCGTGATTTTGAAACAGTTCCCGCTTTTTTTCTTTCCTTATCCCTCTCTCATATTTCACAAAACACCCATTCCTTTCTGAATCATTCACCTGTATTCATATACCCTACCTCCTCTCTCTGCCTTCATTTCTTTGCTTCCAAATCTGTGCTTTTCATCGCTGCTACTGCTCCATCTTCAGTTTCTTGTTCTCCAATCTGGTAAGTAAGCCTACCCTTCTTGCTTTTTTTTTTGTTTGTTTCACCATCCGTTTCTGTTTTGTATGCTTTTTGCAAACATTTTTCTCCATTTGTCTGCTTTGCTTTTGTACTTTTATGAAGAAACCAGTAGAACCCCATGTATGTATGAACTATTATGTAGAAAACCAGCCTTAGATCCAAAATCACATAGCAACCGGACTAGGATACTGTTTGTGTTATGTATGTAGATAGATTCAGAAAATAACCGAACTAGAACTTGTAGGAATATCAGTAGTTTTTTCTGAACCACTCTAGCCAAGATAAGATCACCGAACAAGCTTGCACATACCGAACTAGGTACTTCGGTCTATAACCGAGCTAAGCTTTTGGGGCCAAGCCGGCTTTCTTAGTTCTTAAACCGAACTCAGAAAGCCGCCCCTAGGGGCTCAACCGAAGTAACTTCCTCACACTTCAACCGATTTAGGCCTTGGGACTAAACCAGCTTTCTTAGTTTTTTAGACCGAACTCAGAAAGCTGCCCCTAGACGTTAAACCGGTCTATCGAGTAAACTGCTCAAACCGAGCTACCTGACCTCCTGATGAAAGAACCAGTTCTTTGAGGCCGAAGTAGGGCTTTTATACCTTGCTTGTAAATTGTAGCACGGTCCATTGATCAGTGCTTTAACCCCCTCTGTTTTTTACTTTGCAGACTTAGGTTACCCAGGCACTCCTGCGTGCGCTCAACCGAGCTTCTGAGCACGATTATTGCACCGAAATAACTTATTTGTTAAATTATACAACAAATGGGTAAGTATAGGTATTTAGTTGAGACCCCTGGTGGGATGGCCGAATTCAGGAAGGACTATGATATACCGGATGACGTTCATTTGACTTTAGCAAAAAAGGACGTCATTCCATGGGACAACGAGGGTTTCGTTCCTTTTACTCTACAATCCATAATAGAGACCGGACTACGGTTTCCTGTACAGCCGTTGATCTGCGAATTCCTTAGGCAAACTAGGCTATGCCCCACCCAACTATCCACCAATACATACCGTATTATTATGGGAATAGCCGCACTGAACCACCAAACCGGTTTAAACCTTGGCTTTGCCGAAATATTCCATCAATATTCCATCGGCTCGAAAGATGCTGGATGGGTCTATTACCTTAGGATCCACCGCCGCCGAGAGAAGATAATTAAGCATACACCGGACAAAGACCTTAATGATGATGACTTCTTCTGGGTCTCTGGGAACTTTAAGGATTTTCAAGCTCAAATTCCTAGCCGACCTATAAATTGGAACTAACACTTCTCTTTCTTGCAGACTTCGCCCATCTCCACTCCTTGTATAGTTATCCAAACCTTGCAATTTTGCGAGCCGCGCTACGGATTAAAGAAAGAAGTTGGGCCAAGCTTCTAAATTTTGAACCGACGTACCGATATAGCGGGCGCCGAAAAGCAAGAGTAACCGATTTCCTACTTGAGGAAGCACCAGAGCCGGACCCAAACTTGCCGCAAATAAGATTAGTTCCTTTGACTGCCGAAGAGGAAATGGCCAAGAAGAGCAGAGTGAGGGCGCTTCTGACCGAAACAAGTAGGGCCGAAGTACCGTCACCAAGCCAAACGCAGCCTGCCGTCGTGGCCCTCCCCACTCAACAACCGTCTTCATCGCGCCGCACCAAGCGCGCCCGAACCAGCGAGTCCGAACCAAATTTGGTTGATGAAGATGAGACTGTTATTCCACCAATCTTGCCACCGAGCCCCCAACCGGAACCTACCAACCGAACTGCCACCCGTTGGGTACCAAAATTGACTTTTAAAAACCGAGATGTCGTGGATGCTGATTCGGTTGTCGCCGAAAAAGATCATGAGTTGGCATTTAATCTGGCCAAGGGAGTGTGCCTCCCCAAGGATATGGAGCACCACCGAAAGCAGCTAAACACCGAATTAAAGTCCATTCGGTCTGCAACGAAGTCCATGATCCTGGTATGCCGCTCTGTCCATTTTTCTGTGCAGTTTTGTAAACTTTTGTCTCGGCTTATGGGAAGTCCTCGTTTTTTGCCAGGCAATTCAAAAGAACTACAATACTCACAAGAAGGTGCTGGAACTCAGACAAACTGCAAGGGATGCTGTTGCAGAAGCCGAAGTGAAGTCGGCCGAAGTAGAAAAAATCAAGAAGCAAATGGCCGAGCTTCAAGCTGAGAACAGCAGGCTGACCGGACTGGTTAGTTCGGCTGAGGCAGAAAGGCAGAAGACTGCCATAGCTCTTAAGGACAAATACCTGCACGAGCTGGTGAAGCTCGAAAGAAAGAAGGATGCCGAAATAAAGGAGAAGGTAAAGGAAGCTGACAAACAAGGCTTCAAGAGGGCAGAGGATGCTTATGCCCAACAATGCAATGCTGCCAAGGAGCTGTTCTTTAAGTGCGGCTGGAGGGGGGCCGTTGAGAAGCTCGGTCATGATCCTCAGACCGAGGTTTTCAACCCTCCAACCTACTTTATACCGAACTCCCTGATGGAATATGCCAAAGCCATGCAACAGCAGTTCCTTGAGGGCTCAGACGATGAAGATTCTGATGATGACACTGCCCCTGAGGATACTTCGGTTGTGAATGCAGATCAGGTAGTTCGGTCGGAGCCCATGGTGGAAGATCTAACTATTGATCAACCAAGTGAAACCGTGGCTCCGGCCGAAACCATTCTTCCTTCTGAAAACGTCCCTGCGCCCGAAACCGGTCTTCAGGTTGACGCCGATGCTGCCTTCGATGCCGAGATCGAAGATCTTTTTTCTTGACTTTGTACTTTTTTCTCTATTTTTTGTTACCTTGTCTTTGTAACCGGGCTGTGCCCTTCTGTAATGACTTTTTAGTGAATGAAAAAATTTGCTTCAACTCTTATTCCGGTTGTGATATGTATGCCTGTATTTTGTAACGTCTTCTATTACTTCCATTGTTATTTCGGTTTCGGCTGGCTAAAATATGCTTACTAGCCAACCACTCCTTAGCCGATATAATCACTTCGGCTGAGGAGTACAAAGTGTTGGTTTATTCCAGCCAACTACTCTTCAGCCATACCCTTACTTCGGCTGAAGAGTAGCAAGAGTTGGTATATTCCAGCCAACCACTCTTCAGCCATACACTTACTTCGGCTGAAGAGTAACAAGTGTTGGTTTATTCCAGCCAACCACTCTTCAGCCATACCCTTACTTCGGCTGAAGAGTAACAAGTGTTGGTTTATTCCAGCCAACTTATATTGGTTATTCCGACCAAATGTCCTGAAGCCTGGATCCTTATCCTGGGCTTAGGAAGGGTGTTGGTTTAATCCAGCCAACCTCTGAGTTAGTTTTTCCAGCTAACTTAGAATAGAATGCTTGCAATAATTTGTGCTAAAAAGAATTTCTCATTTTATTGAAGGAAGAGAAAAGTACATATGTTTGAAAAAGAAAAGCTAAAAGTAAAATAACTTGAGATTGGCCGTATTCCATGGCCTAGGGATTGCCTTGCCATCCTTGTCTTCTAGGTGGTATGCCCCTTTGCCGGCTAACCCAACCACCTTATAAGGACCTTCCCAATTTGGGCCTAACTTGCCATCTCCTGGGATCAAGGTGTTTCCCATTACTTTGCGTAATACCCAATCGCCAATTTTGAATTGTCTTGGATGAACCTTTTTGCTGTATTTTCTGATTAACTCTCGTTGGTATGAGGCGATGTGGACCAACGCTCTTTCTCTTCTTTCTTCTGCAAGGTTGAGTTCTAAGGCTATGGCTTCTCCATTTAAGTCTGGATCAAAATTTTCGCTTCGAATTGTGGGGAGGCCAACTTCCAGTGGGATTACTGCTTCCATTCCGTAGGCTAAGGAGAATGGTGTTTCTCCTGTTGATCGTCGAGGTGTGGTGCGGTAGGCCCATAAAACATGAGGAAGTTCATCTGCCCACTTGCCTTTTGCTCTTTCTAGCCTTTTCTTTAGTCCATCCAAGACGACTTTATTTGATGCTTCAGCAGGGCTTCAAGAGGGCAGAGGATGCTTACGCCCAACAATGCAATGCTGCCAAGGAGCTGTTCTTTAAGTGCGGCTGGAGGGGAGCCGTTGAGAAGCTCGGTCATGATCCTCAGACCGAGGTTTTCAACCCTCCAGCCAAAAGAGAGATTGATGAAGAACTTCAAATAGGAATTTGAGTTGATTCTAAATTGTTTCACTGTGGATTAGACCATCTTCATGTGCTTCAACATTTTTTTCATCAAGGGGCACCCAAGTTTGGTGGAGGAGAGAGTTATAGACCAAGCTTGCTTTGATCCCAACACTAAACGTGCACCCGCTGTCCATTTCCGACCGGTTAGTTAGGCTAAGGAGTGGGTATGTAGTATAAGGTTAGTGTGTCGGGTCCTAACTTGATATGTTTTCAAATTTCTTGCAAGAAAATTCAAAATTTTCAAAAACAAAAATCAATTCAAATTTGAATTTTCCAAAATTGAACTAATTGACACCGATTCATTCTTTTCTTGTTCTTCTCCTTCTCAAGATGGTCACAGTCTCTGCCGTGCTGGTGGTTTTCCAGATTCTATAAAAGCGAGTTTTGGTTTAGGACCCAACCCAGTTGTATTCTGGACTCGAGTTTCATGATTCTATATTGCGTGTTCTGTATAATTCTTTTTTCCCCTTGAGTTAGGTTATTGGGTTGTATTGGTTGCGTTTGAAACAAGTGGGTAGCTTAGTTCCCAAACTTTTGTTGCCATAGAATTTTACTCCTTCACACGAGTGTCACTTATTGCACCTCGACCGAGCTTTATGAACTCTCAGTACTTTTCCAGGCCTACAAAACTAGAGAAGAATGTTTCCTACGCTCAAGCGGTCGCGCGCTCAAGCGATGGTCATCTGTATGCAAACTACTAGAAGTGCTGTATTCTACGTTCAAGCGTCACTTATTACGCTCGAGCAATAATCATTTTTGTGTCTGACACTCGAGCATCACTTCTTGGCACTCGAGCGGACTGTACGTATATCAGTCTGTAAAATCACTTTTCATATTCTCTCACTCTCTCTCTAAAACTCACTAATATTTTCCTCAAAATACACCTAAATCCATCGATCTTTTCACTTGTGTCTTTGCTAAAAGATAGAGATGATGGAAGGGTATTTTAGTTACTTTTGTTCTTATAGACATAACAAATCAGATGCTTGAACTTTTAGGTTTGAATTTTTCAACGAAGCGCCTGTAAACTAACTCTCATAGCAATACTGTAAGAAATAATTTGTGCGGTATAAACACTTTTAACAGACTCAAGATAAAACTAATATTTTTCACATCTTAAATTTCAATACTCATGTTTTCCTTTAGTCATAAAATGACTAACCAATTTGAAACTTCATTTAAATATTAGTTAGCATAAATTAAAATTTTTAATTTAATTCAAAAAAATTCAACAAATATATAATATATACTTCATATTTCTCAGATTTAAGAATTCACAAACAAATATATACCTTAATTTTATAATTTAAATCATAACTTGATTTTAAATACATTCTTAAAACTTTCAACAAAATTATTTTAGTACTTGTGGATTTTTTTAAAATCTTAAACCAGAATTTTTAGTTCGAACCCTGATTCTGTGGCCCAAAAAGGATTTGGGCCTTCCAATAAATCCTGTGGCCAAAATAGATTTGGGTCTTTTCATTAAATTCAAAACACTAGATTAGTAACATAGGCCTAAGCAACGCAAAAAACTAAAAAACCAAACATTGAACCTCGAGATGCCATTTGGTGGGTCATTCTCATGTACCATAATTAATGTAAAACCAAACAGTCATTAGTCATTTTTTTGGCCTAGTTTTAAAAATCCAGAACATTATTTATGGTGCCCATTCCCAGAATCCATTTGCAAAATGAAAGCACGCCACTGTTTACACTTAGTTGTTTGGGCAAAAAATATTTCTTGTATTTTCTGAAATTGGTACATAAAAAATGAAATCAATAGAAAACATTTTCATAAATCAACGAAAAATATGTCTATTTGGACAAAACAAGCAAAAATATTTTTCAAACTAAAATCTTAACAATTTCACTACATTACCAATCGGCTATTCTCACTCTAACACCACCACTATCCACGACCACCATCACCAACGCCACAACCGACACCCACCACACCATGCCATCACCTCAATCTCCACCTTTTCCACCACCATCACCACCAAACATTAAAAAAATATTTCTAAAGTTTTCATAAAAATATTTTTGGTTAGAAAATGTTTCACAGCCAAAAAAACGAAGTGCTAGAACAAATCATCATCCGATAGTTTTCTCCTGGGTGCAGAGGCTACTGCCATGCCAATGTCTTTATCGTTTTTGCATGAAATGCACTAAACTTGCATAAAGTTTTAATTTTAGATCCTTGTGACAATATCAAAATTTTAGCCTTGCAAGAAATGAACCAACAAATTATAAAACTCAACCTCCTAATTATGAATTTGAGTGATTCAAATTGCTTCACTGTAAGATTAGACCATCTTCAATGCTTTACCTTTTCTTTCATCAAAGGGGCACCCAAGTTTTGTGGGGAGGGGAGAGTTATAGACCAAGTTTGCTCGATCCACACCATACGTGCACTCCGTCGTCCTTTCAACCGGCCAGTCGGGCTGGCGTGGGCATGTAATATAGGTTGGTGTGTCGGGTCATTACTTGATTTTTTTTCAAAATTTCTTGCAGGAAAATTCAAAATTTTCAAACAAATTCATATTCAAATTTGAATTTTTCCAAAATTGAACCAATGACACTCTTTTCTTCTCCTTCTCCTTCTCCGATCACATCTTTTCACCGTCGATGGTTTTCCAGATTCAAACCCATATCTGAATAGTCACCATGGAGCTTATAAATTTAGACCCTTTCTAGGCAATTCATTCATTCAATTTTAGCATTCATTCCTTGCACTCTTCTGCATATTGTTCTATTTTCTGTGAGACAAAGAGTTCAACACAGTTTGCTCGCTAGACCAAATTTTTAGTGCTACATTTTTGGGTTGTAGTCGTTGCATTCTGGGAGGTCGGCATCATTTATTCTCAGAGCACCATAGCAAGGACATAACGATCAATGATAGTGTGTCAATACATGCCTCGGCTTTTTCTTATTTCTACATTTTGATTGATCTAACTTCTCTAAGTTTTTTATTTTTTTTAATTTAACTTACAGTTTGTGATCTTGTTCTTGTTTATACCTAAACAAGAATTTCTTTGCTTACTTGTAATTTTCCAGAAATAATTTGTGAAAATTATTTTCTAACTTTTACTTTTATTTTAGTTGTTATTTTATTGAATACACACAGTTCGCTAGTTTTAATAAATAGTTTACCTAGTAAATTGGAAAACCTTAAAACATGAAAGGTTAAAGTAGAAAAAAATAAACTTTAAAGCCAAACTGAGAAAGTTGGCCAAGCATAAAAGGAGGCAAAGTGTAATTCATCTCATTTAATATTTGGTAATCATTTGAATCCTTAGGTAACGTTTAATGTTATCATTTTATATTTACAAAAATTTTATAAACTGGTTTTTGTTTATTTTAGAAAACATAAATTACAGACGCGTTTGGTAATTGATAAAAGTGTTTAAAATTTTAAAAAATATAAAAAA